CAGTAATACTGGCACCAGGTGGGAGTTGCTAAGGAAAACCCACTTACGCTGAGTCCTCTCCAACTCATAGCGACCCTGTAGGACAGTGGGACTGCACCAGAGGGTTTCTGAGATGGCCCAAGCTGAACCCACAGTGTCACCAGGGTTCCTTTGTTAAGGAATGGTTTAGAAAAAAAGAACCCAAAGACCCCAAATGAAGTTTCATGTATTTTCAAGACTGCCAATGATAGACACAGGTGACAGTAAAAGGTGAAGTTTTAGAAACACACAAACTTTGAAAAATTTTGGAAATTCTGTTCCTCAGGACTGAAGGGGTCCCAAAGTGAAGAATTCAGGTGGAGAGCCAAAATACAACTTTTCTGAGGAAACTTAGTCACAGGGACTCCTTGTTGTTGTTATTAAGTACTGTAGAGTGATTCCCACTCATAGCAACCCAGTATAGAGTTTCTGAGGAACAGCTGGTGGGTTTGAACCACCGACCTGTGGTTCAGACTGACTTTGTTTGTGGTCAAGTGCTTATCCTACAGCGCCACATAAAAATGCCACAGGGCCCCGTAGGAGCCCACATAGCAGAGAGAGAAGAGTCGGAAGGGTTTGTCCTCTCCTCGCTCCTGCCCTGTAGTCAGCCCTGACCATCAACTCTGTGACAGGTGCTACTGGTCACAGGACAGGGAGAGAAGATTGCTCTGCACAGTGCTAGTCTTAACACCCAGAAGAACCAGCTGTAAGCTAGTGTCTTATTGGCATTGTTCTCATGTAAGAATAGCAATGTATTTAAGTTTCAGAAGAGAGGTGTGATTTGGTGATGACACAGACCAAGAAGACACAGGTGCAAGTAAGGGTCTAGAGCTGGGGGAAGCTGAAGCTAATTGCTGGGTTCTGCAAGGACCATGAAACAAGGATTTCTGTATTAAGTACACATGCCCCACCTTAAAAAAAAAAAAAGCCAAATAAACCCAGTTGCTGTTGTGTCAATTCCAACCAATGGCAACTCCACGTGTTGCAGAGTAGAATTGCGTTCCATAGGGTTTTCATGACTTTGACCTTTCAGAAGCAGATCACCAGCCCCTTTTTTATAAATTGCCTCTGGGTGGGTTCAAATTGCTAACCTTTCCGTTAGCAGTCAAGTCTGTCCTGAGTAGTTGGCAGAATACGAGTATGGGGAGAAAACTGTGTGACTCCAGACTAAAATTATCAGAAACTTGCCAGAACATGTTCTCCTAACTCCACATACTAACCTTCTTCAAAGCCTTGTTGGTACAATGGCTAAGTTCCCAGCTGCTAACTGAAAGGTCAGAGGTTCAAACTCACTGACTACTATGAAGGAAAAAATGCCTTCTGAGTAGGATTGGCTAGGAAACCCCATGGATTACTTCTACCCTGCCCTGATAGGGTCATAATGAATAGATTCAACACGCATCATTCCTAGGATCTGTTCTTAATTAGCATCAAGTTCATGAGTTAATGGTGGGAAATGGTATCAATTTAGGATTAGGTTTGACGATGGGTAAGGTTAGATTTAAGCTGTGGTTTAAACATGGTTCAAGGACCTCTGGTGATGTAGTGGGTTAAGTGTTGGGTTGCTGACTAAAAGTTTAGTGGTTTGAATTATCAGCCACTCTGCAGGAGAAAAATGAGGGAGTCTGCGTCTGTGAAGATTTACAGCCTCAGAAACTAGGAAGAGTGATTCTACTCTGTTCTTTAGGGTCACGATGAGTCCCATGGGTGGTATAGGGCTTTGTACTCTGCCTTCCTAGGTGTGCCACCTCAAGGTCCACACTCCAGTGAGCAGGAAGAGAAAGAGTACCTACCAGTTGTCTTTTAAAAAGCTGCCCTGGTAACTGCTATGTCACACTTCCACTTAAATCTCATTGGCTATAACTTAATCCCCCAGGCTACCCTAGGCTACAGGGAGACCAGAAAATGTATTTCATTCTGGTTAGCTGTGCCCAAGTAAAAATCAGAGGTGTTCACTAAGGAACTGGGGGAGTGATTGGTGGTTACATTCTGTGGAGTCGGTTCTGACTCATAGTGACCCTGTACAGGGTTTCCAAGGCTATAAATCTTTACAGGAGCAGAAATTGTCCTCTTTCTCCCATGGAACAGCTGGTGGTTTTGAATTGCTGACCTTGTAGTTTGCAGCCCGATTCATAACCACTATCCTACCAGAGCACCTTAATTGGGGGAGATTGGGTATTAAAAGCTAACTTAGTGTGCCACACACAGATAATTAAAAACATCAACTAAAAATATTAATACAAATAGAACTTATACTCTCACAAAGATTTATGGGCTGGAAAGCCCCTATACAGGGTTGCTGTGAAGCAGAACCAGCCTAACAGCATTTAACAACAAAGTTATGATTACGTAGTTACAAAATCAAAAAAGCCAGTGTGGAAATCATACAGGTAAGTGGATTTTTAATTACTGAGTTTTGTAACAGTGTAAGGTGTACCTTTCTAACCACATTTACCTTAGGCTGATGCTAACTTACAGGCAGTTTGATGGGGAAAGTTCCAAATTAGTTATGGCAGAAAGAATCAGATACATATGGATTCTTGAAACTTGATTGTCTGAAAGAATCCTAGTTCTCCCCACATTTAGTGAACTACGGGCTATGACAGAAATAGAAGTTTGAATTCCCAAACAAAATTATGCTTCTTTAGCTACCAAGCCAGAAATCGTCCTCACTGTGGGCTTTGGGAGCCACTCTTTGAGGCCTGTAGGCAGTGGCTCTGTTTAAAGGGAATGGCTCTCTTCCAGGGCAGAATGGGTTAGGTAGACACCATCCCCCTAAAGGTCAGAAGTCTTGATTCCTTTGATATAACAGGCAGGGGTCTACCTGCATTCTTTGAGAGTTCTACCAGCAGTCAGCCATCTTTATTAGCATCCTCTGTGTGTCCCAGGCACCGTAAGAGACACAAGAAGAGGCATGGTTCCCGATCCTGGTGGTAGTGGTTGTGTACTGTATGTAGAGTTAGTTCTGACTCATAGTGACTCTGTACAGGGTTTCTGAGGCTGTAAATCTTTACGGAAGCAGAAAGCCTTACCTTTCTCCATTGGATTCGAACGGCTGACTTAGCAGTTATCAGCCTATTCATAACCCACTGTATCACCAGAGCTTATTTTCCTGAACCTCGGAAATCTTAATTATAAAACCAGGGCATATGGTCAAACACGTAAGTTATACCCCATGCAATAGAGAAGTAAAGTTACAAGTTATTTTAGGAGGATGGAGTAGCAAGCCAGGGTTTTTCGATTACTCTGAATAACTTTTCAGGAGAGGATGATCATAGACTCCCAATTATCTTTCCATCTCTGAAACAAGTGTGTACGTGTAAGGGGGTGGGGTGGGGTGGAGTTTGTTGCCAAAGCTTCTAATGTTATTGTTGTTAAATGCTATGTTTCTGACTTACAGCAACCCCGTGTAGGGTTTCTGAGGAGCAGCTGGTGGGTTTCAACTGTCAACCTTCTGGTTCGTAGACCAGTGCTGACTGACCCTACAGCACCATACTAGGAGTCCCTTCAAATGGTGTAGAAGCAAGCTGTTGATGGTCTGTGTAGTTCTAACAACATTGAATGAGTCGGACCACTTGGATGTCAGTGGAAAACCATTTGCTGCTGTAGTTAAGTGCTATCAAGTTGGTTCTGACCCATAGCAAACCTGTAGAGGGTTTCCCAGGAGCGGTTGAACCTCCGACCTTATGGTTCAAGCTGACCTTGCAGTCCAGTGTGTTAACCTACAGTGCCACACCCAGACTCCATTTGCTGTTAGGAAAAATTTTTAAAGTATAATCCAAGAAATGTCCTAACATTTATATCTTCGTATATTATTAAGTGCCATCAAGTTGGTTCCAACTCACAGCAACCCTTTGTAGCATTTCCGAGGAGCAGATGGTGGGTTTGAACTGCCAACCTTGGCTGATTCTTACAACACCACACTGGGACTCTTATCTTCATATATATAAAAAACAAAGTTCATACTGTTGTTAAATTTAACTTGAAAATTTATTTGATCTTAAAGAAATGGGTAAATGTGCAACTTCTGAATTGCTAAGTGCCATCAAACTGGTTCCTTTGAGATAGAATTCACTAAAAGTATTCAACATCCTAAACTTGGTTTACAGTCTCACTAACTCTTGATCAAAGACTGTGAGAAGAGGCACAATAAAAAATTGTGAGGTAAACTGCGAGAACGCTTAGGCATAGTTTTCTGTTGCATAGTCACTTAGGAAATGTCATGGATGAAGAGGTGAAGCGTTACTGGATGACTGTTTCCCAGGGTGAAGTATTTTCTTGCATGACTTCACAGGCACTCAGCTGTAGTTTTATACTAAGAAGAGCTTTAAGGCATGTTTTTAATGGAACAAAGGTGATTCTCCACTGAATTTTCATATTTATAGTACTTTTTTCAGATGAATTCTAAAATTTTATATACGCAATCCTGGAATACTAGCTCTCTATCAAAGATAATTTGTTGGAGTCCTTGTGTGATGCTGTGGGTTAATGTGCTGGACTGCAAAGTCAGTTTGAACTGCAAGGTTGGTGGTTCAAGCTTACCAGCTGCTCCTAGGAAACCCTATACAGGGTCCTTGTGGATGGAAACCAACTCTACAGCACTTAACAACAGCAATCAAAGATAAACAGCTCACCATGGGAACGTAGGTCATGTTGGAGTTCCTGGCCTTCCCTCTGAGTACACACACTATAGGAAGCCATTCCATATAGTCTTAGTGCCTTTTTTCAGAAGCTTGCAAGGCTTGCAAATAGTGGGTTTCAAAAGTTACAGCTTAATGAAGAACATGTGAATTTAGCCAACTGTAAATTCTTCTGAGTTCTACATTGAAAGGTGCATTTCAGAACAGGAGGTACAATTGGGAGATAGGGGCTAGCAGAGGGAGTATCAGAAAGGTTAGGAAAACAATGGGGGGCCCTTGAAAATGCTAAATTCACTTTGTCTCATCCCTGTCCCCATTGCCTTTCTTGTCTTTCACCCTTAGGCCTGCACTGCCTGAGAAGAAGGTGGCTGACCTCAGCACTCTGAATGAAGTGGGCTATCAAATCCGAATTTAGCTCAGCTATAGTGGCCAGTAAGAGAGCTTCTGCAGTGCTTCTTTCTGCACTTTACCCAGTGTCTTCAGGAGGAACGGCGACTATTTATTAGGAATGTGTGGATTTTATTTTTCAGGATTCACCTGGAAATAGAACCTGAGGGGGTGGAAACAATGAACCTTACAAAATTCATGAAGGGCAACCATGAAAGTGAAGTAACAAACCCAATTGGGGCTAGACTGTCCCCTTGCTCGAGATTTCAAGGACAGCAGCAACCATGACTGTAGTTTTGTATTGCTGAATTTTTGCATACTTTCTTTTCCTTACTTTGAAAATTATGCCTCACCAGTAGCCAGTGTTCATGAAACCCTCTCCCATTTTGGGTACAGTAGGGTAACTCAATCAGTATTAATGTCTTCTTCAGCAATAAAACACACAGATGGGCGGGGGTTTTTAAGCAGTCAGTATTACCTCAGCATCTTGGCATCAGATATGCAAACTTAACGGTGTTTTGTTTTTTTAATATTCTATTTGTATGTTTCCCCAGTATTTCTCATGGGGAACTCCACATTTGGAGATTTTAATTTTTTTTCCTGGTGCACATATGTGATGAGATTTAAGGTGTTATATGCAAGTGTTTTACTAAAAAGCACTGAAATTCTTCTGGCAATACGGGAACCCATTTTCAAGATCCTGGAATTATTTCCTTCTTAATCTTTCTTAAAAGCATTCACTGACAGCAGGTTTTGTCCTTTCAAAACAAAACTGTTTAGAAGCTAGTGTATTGTTCTGTCACTGACATTTAAACTTTGCAGATTCCAGCAAAAAGCACAAGAAGTTGTGCAGTGTTGCACAGATTTAGTAGTATTGCGATTGCCTCTAACACCCCCAGAAAGGCCAGGAGGGAATCAGTAGGTCTTGAGAACCAGATAACCTTGTTGTTGTACACAATGCTTCTGAGTTTTAAGCTCTGAGTCAGGCTTTGGTTCTGAGGACTCATGGCTATTTAGAGATGTTTTCTGTCTGATGTCTTATATTAAGACCAAATGTGACATAATGTGACTTCCCCCCCCCCAGTACCTTGCTTTTAGGTACCACTTCATGACATTTAGGAATTAGTAGTGGAAAATAAAATGAATTAGAGAGAACTTTTTAAAAATGGAATACTCTTCTGATTCAGTGTTACACCTTATAGTGTGATTAATCCATGAAGCACAGTATAAATATCTGGCCTGCATATGCTAGTTACAGTGTAACTTCTGGCTGCCAGCCACACAGAATAACTACAACAGACAGAGGCTGGATGTTATCAAGAGTACCCATGCCAATTGATTTAAAGTGAAGCCTGCTACTAAGTGTTACTTTAGTCTCATTGCTTCTTTCTGGCTTTGTGTGACCTAAGGTGGTTATAGAAAGGGTATTACAAAAAAAAGAAAGAAAAAGAATCTGTTCGTTGAGATTCTTCATCAGTAAAACCTGTGGAAGTGACATGGAAAGCAAACCTTTATACCTCAGCCACGGGCACAAGAACTCACTTTTCCTTACAAAATCTATTATTAATGAAATGTACTCATGAATACGACCAAGTATGTGTACACCACAATGACAAGAAAATGCAGGTTAAAAGTCCTGATCTGTATTACTTTCTGCAAGAACACCATCATCAGTACAACTTAAAATGAGTTCTCTTTGTATAGCTTCCCAAGACAAACCCAGATATATCCCATGTATTGAGAAGTCTGGAGTTGTCCAAAAGTCATTTCACTCTCATCCTAAACAATATGGACTCACTGTCACGTCTCTAGAGATAAATACCTTCTGTTTATCAATCCAAAACTTTACTATAGCCAACATGCAGATTATTTTGCAACCATTCTAAGAACTTGGAATGGGATTTGCTAAGTATTAAGTATTGTCCCTTCTAAAATACAGGATGTCAAATAGTTGTATGCACTCACTCCCCCCCCCCACACACACACACAAAAAAAAATATATATATATAAGTGCAAACAGTTTCTAATGTGCTAATACATACTATATGTCACTTGGCTTGTGATTCATTTAACATAACCTAACTTCTTCCACCCTAATCTCTTTATTTTAAAATGCACTTCCCAAAGCATTTTAAATGTTCTTAGTTATTCTATTTTGATTTCCTATGGAATATGTTAATTTCTAAAGAGAGACGGGAAAGGCACCAAACTTCTAAATCCTAGTGTAATCATTTAATTAAAACACTGTTAAAGGAAGGGGGAAAAGAAAAGGAGGGCACATTTTACCCCCCCCCAAAGTGATTTTAAGACTGGTTATAATTCAAAAGATAAAACTGAAAGATGATTTGAAATACAGTTTTAAAAAAGTGATTAATGTAAGAGAAATTTGCGCTAAAGCCATCATGGCAATATATGCAAAGTTTAAATGGATGACAGAAAATCGTGATTTTAGATTAGACATTGTGCTGTTTGGAGTACACTTTATTTCAGAAAGTGATATTTAGTATTTTCTATACACTGAAATCATGAGCATTTCACTTTTTCTAAGTCAATTATTTCATAAGGATTTTAATAGATATTGATAAATAGAAATTTGGAAATTTTAATTCAGTATTCTTATTATACTTGAGGCTTTTGTAACCTATAGTTTTATGTACAATCCTGTACAGTTTTTTTGACATGCAATCCTGAGTTTGTTTATTCTCTTGGACTTTGTTTTGGCCAATACATTCTTTTTTAAAATCTTTAAGAAAAACTGTGATTGTTTTAGTGGTATTTTTCTAAGTCAATGAACACTTACTTGTACAGTGGTATTTTAGAAAATGCCAGATTAAATGCATGTTTCAAGTTCATGTTTTTCTCATCACTTGTATGTTTCTACCCAGCATGAGACTAATAAAACCATCCTGGAAATTTAGGGTTCATGTTTCTTCTAAAAAATGTGTAAGCTAGTGTGGTGTTTCTCTTATCCTGTCATTATATACTTGTTTTAGTAAACCAATTATTCTCTCACCTTTCTTCTTTCACAGTTTTCAGATTCTATAGCAACCATCCAGGAGCTCTGGGTGGTTACGAGTCGGGCTGCTAACCTCAAGGTCAGCAGCCCCACCACCACCACCACCACCATAGCAACCATTGCTCTATTTTGGCACATCTCAGTTCATTAATTTTTGCATCACCTGAGTAATAAAGGCTGAAACAGGTAATGGAATAGTTTAGAAGAGAAAACAGGCCAGCTTACACCTAAGTGCACCTACCATGAAGCCCTCTGGCACAGGTGTATTTAGTATAATTTATTAAGCAATTTACATATAAAAATGCAAATGTCTTGAAGTCTCTGTTTCCCTAACCCCTTGGACTTTCTAGATTTCTACCTTTGATTTTTAAGAAAGCAAAGGATTAAAAGAAGACAGTTGCTAAATTCTAAAACAAGATGAGATTTCACACATGCATATTATCTTGATATCAAAAGGTAAACAAAACTTCATTACAATTCCTTTTTCCACTAAAAACTGGGATAGAATGGCACTTGAACAGTGTGGAGATTTAATTTTTGGCAATTAACTAGATTTATTGCTTTTAGAAAGCATATACAAAGCTCTAGCAGAGTTATCAAACCCTTCTGGCCCCCCCCCAAAAAAAACATTAAAAAAGTAAAGACAAGTACTTCTAGAGGCGCTTTAAAAAATCTGTGAGGATTTACATTGTCCCTTTGGCCTCCAGTTCATAAAATACTACTTGATTCTATAGAGAGCAGTTTTACAGATCAAGACTAGCAAAGTGAAGTATGCAAAAAAAAAAAAAAAAAGCCACAAATCACACTATCAGGATAGAAAAAAATTTCACACAAGCTTTGAGGGATGTTAAGTTTGTTAACAGTAATTCTATATTGTTTGCTGATAAAGTCATACAACAGAAAGCAATGGTTAATGAGTTTCTATTTTTCCTTCTCCAGCACTAAAAAGTGTAATTATACTATCGACCATAAGTTGGTGATAACTACAAATTAGGATATATAATAATACTCTACCAACTATTACTATAGAATGCAGAAAAACCTAGAGCTATATAGTTAATAATGCAGAGCAAAACAAAAACAATGAAAAAAAATTTTAAGTACAATTTTTACTAAGCAAATTCTTATAACCCACATACCCTCTTTGGGGTTTTCATCTGATTTTTAAAAAATAATTGTAAGTGCTTTTGTACAAAACCTTTTAAAATCCAAGACTATGAACTAACTACTGGCTTTCCTATTTAGGATGAAGCATTCTCTTAAGAAAACCCATTGTAAAAACTTTTATAATTCAGTGAAAAATTACTTCTTAGTAAAAAAGCACATACTTCTTTGATCCCAATGTCTAAAATAGAGAATTTTTTTTTACTTTTTGTTTTCAAGTTTTTGATTCAAATACTTCTATAAAGCCAACTGCAGGATAGACAGACCTGCTCTTAACCACTCCATAAAAATGTCAGCACCATCTTCTCAGGCTGGTGAATCACTGTGAAAGACACCATTCTAGAAATGAAATCAGTAAAACTAAGAATTGAAACCCCTACTTAATAATAGGTCTCCAACTGGGTATTAAACTACCAGAGTTTTGCAGGCTTTGTAGGTTTCAGAGACATGACTACATTTATATAGCTGCCACTTTGTTTCGAAGACAATTTTCCTAATAAAGTAAGTTTCTCTAGAACTGGTTCTGTACAATAAAGCCTCTTGCCTAATCCAGGGATCCATTTTAGAAGCTAAATAGGAAATAGAATACAATTGCTAGGGAAACAACGGCATAATAATCCCTGTGAGTCCTTCTCTTGGGCTCACTTCTGTTGCAGGATAGAAAGGGTTGGGCTGAGTAAAGTACCATTTACTAGTGATTACTAATGGTAACTAGCATAGTGGTTATGAGGTCAGCAGTTCAAAACTATCAGCTGTTCTGTGGGAGAAAAATGAGGCTTTCTATTCCTGTAAAGATTTACAGCCTTGGAAACCCCATGCAGGGTCACTATGAGGTGGAACCGACTCCACGGCACACCACCACCATCACCACCATATATCCTAAGGAGTCCTGGTGTGGCACTGCAGGGTAAATACTCAGATAAGACTTTTATAAGATAAATTCCTCGGAAAACCTATACAGGGTCGACAGGAGTTGGAACTGACTTGATGGCTCTTCACATATCTCCTAAACATTTAGCCAACAAAATGCAGGCAGAGCAAACAGTTCAATAGAGTAAGCTAATGCAGTAATCATGGCGTAGAATTTAAAAAGCAATTACCAAGCCCCTTAGTTGCACACTTGTGACCGATGCAGTGACTTCTGAAATGAACTAATTGGGACTCAACAAGCTTCTCCCAAAATAAATCAGGCCTTGTGGAAAGGTAGTGATCAGAGGTTTTCAAGAACTAAAAAATACTGTAGATTCATTATAAAGCTTGTCAAATCATGAACTACTTTACTAAGAGGACTAAAGAAGATACATTATTAAAAAATGTCTGCCAATTTTACTAAGATTTACAACCAAAAACATTTACATAACTGAACAATAGTCTTAACTTTAAAAAAAAAAGACTGTCTTAAGCATTATACTCTTTTAAGAACTATCTATACAGGGTCAAATCGACAATAGCCATTAGAAGGTTAGATGGGAAACTAAAGGGGCATTTGTTTGTGCTAACAAGGGAGGAACAACTTGGAAAAGAAGCATGAGAATGGTTGTGCAACTTGAACGTAATCCATGTCACTGGATTGGACTGGTAGAAACTATTGGTGTGTTCTGTGTATATGCTCAACAACAACCAAATAAATAAAATTTCTAGAAGAAAATTTACATCTCTTTCACAATAAAGAGCATTTAGATCTCATTTATCAGGAAAATATTTCTCATTTTTAAAAAAGAAAACTGTTGTAAACTTTTTTCTTCTACCTGCTTCAAGCATTAAACATAATCTCTTCAGAAACTCCACAACGTAAAAATTACATGCAAACTCTTAACAACTGTATGTTGTTTGAAAACAAACATGTAAGATGGAAACAAAATTATGTAAGTAATGAAAGAGTCAGAGCTCAAGTCTGAACTTAGCCAACAAAGGCAGATGATCTGAAGAGTTATGTTCGTTTGGAAGTCCATTAACAGTCCATAAGTCTTGTTCTGTAAGAAGTGACAGTCTAGCTAGAAGTTTCAAGCCACCAATCAAAGCAACTTCCGCTCCTATATTAAAAAAATAAACGTTTAATGAAACATTGTCACCAGGCTATTGCAAATTAATCATACAGTCTGTTTTCTAAGCAACAACGATACAGAACTGGAGGTCCTCCAGAAGACTAATATTAAACATCTTTTAGACTATGATTGAAGTTTTACTGAATAACAATCTAATTAAAACCTCAGACAGCAATTTCCAACTATCTTCCTGTTTCAAATATTTTTTTCTATTTCAAGTTTTACAAATAATTTATAAGAAGAAAATATCAATATAATATGTAAGAATGTGAAGAGTAATTTGGAACTGGCAATTCCATAAGAAATTTATCCATTACACACCCTGGAGCTGCATGTAGCAAGTTTACTGGAGAGTAACAATATAATTTGGCCTCATGGAATCATTACCCACAGATGTAGACTAAAAAAAGACCAGTGCTATCGAGTGGTTCTGACACATAGTGACCCTTAAAGGACATAGAACTGCTCCTTAGGGTTTCCGAGGCTGTAAATACTTACGAGAGCAGACAGCCTCATCTTTCTCCCACTAAGTGGTTAGTGGATTTGAACTGCCAACCTTAAGGTTAGCAGTTCAATGCATACCCACTGCACCACCAGGGCTTCTTAAGAGTAAAAGATGACTTTCTCTAAAAGGTGGTGGTGGTGGTGGTAGTGTGCTTTAGAGTCAGTTCCGACTCACAGAGACCATGTATAGGGTTTAGAAAGCCTCATTTTTCTTCCACAGAATGGCTGGTAGTTTCAAACTGCTGGCCTTGAAGTTAGCAGCCTCACTTGTAACCGTAACCACTAGGTTACCAAAACTCTGAACAGTAAAAGATTTTAAATGCTGGCTCATGACTCTCTCCCGCCACCTAGTGAATGTTGATCAGCATGACAACTGTAAGAACTTCCTATAAATTTAAAGCAGTAAACATTTTGCGGAGTTGATCTAGTTAATGAAATGAAGTAAGGTAGCTCCTGAGTGTTAATAAGGTTATCCCCAGTAAGAAGGGGGTAAAAAATCAGAAAAGCAAATATAAATGTACTTTTTTGACTTCCAGTTATTTTAAACTGCATTTTCTTCTCTACTTTAAATCCTGTGGTTAATATTTTAAACCTGATTTCACTGCATCATACAAGGAAACATGACTTTTCATCCTTGTTTTTTTTAAATACACAAAGTCATCTTAAAGATGTTTCTTTAGATAGATACAACATTCCAGGGTCCACATGCCAAAACTGTTGTTGGCAGTATAAGCATAGTCCGACAATGTTGCCTTCTATTTTGTTTTATTAAGAAACATTAAAAATGGACACTGGGCTCAACTAAAATGAATTTAGTAGTAAAGCTAGCAGTAAATGCTTTCTTTCCTGAAAGTACCATTAAAATACAAGATAATCAGTCCTCTCCTACCTGAAACTATAAAATTGAAGGCAATATTTTCAATGGTTGATGTCACAAGGGAGAAAAGAACCCACACAAGCTTTCATATTCAATTGTAACAAAGGGACCATTATCTTTAGACCACAGTGTACCAATTTATAATTCTGCATACAACATCTTACTACCTAAGCAATTTTATATGTTAATAGGGACTGATGCACTGAGACATGCATAATAAAATGAAGAGAAAGAAAAAGACCAATTATTATTAATAAAGCAAAGTAGCACATGTGGTATAGAGACTCTATACTTTGAAAATTGCTGGCAAACAGTGGATGGTCCCTGAGAGCTATTTAATACAAAACATAGTACCAAAATTGATGCTCATAAATTTCCTCAGTAATTATTCCAAATATACATTATTAATTTCTCTACCCCCTTAAAGACAGTATGGGGAGGTGGTGGCTTCTTACAATAAACACTGGAATGTGAGCCTCAGGGTCAGCTGTTTGAGCCCCCTTGCTTCTCTGTGGGATAAAGATGAGGCTTTATGCTCCCACAAAGATATAAAAGCCTCAGAAACCCTATATAAGGTCACTATGAGTTAGAATCGAGACAACATCATTTAAAAGCAACAACAATGAAGGCAGCAAGCTTTTAGAAAGTTTAAGCACAAAAAGATGATTGACATAATTTATTCAGTGGTTGTCACAGGAAACAGTAAATTCGTGGCAAGTAAAATACAAGGGTAAAATGAACAACCTGTAACTCAGAAGATAACTGGGATTGGAGGGTCATGTTGAGAACTGAATTCTCAGGCAGTAATTTGCTTTGCAGCGTTTCACTGCCTCCTTCATCATATGCAGGTAATTAGCTGATTTCTTCAAATAGACTCTCAATCTTTCCACTGGAAAAAAAAATCTAGAATTTCACCTAAAAGTTCAGCTTCCTTAATCTCGGCCTGGAAAATGTACCTACTATGATTTAAGAGCCCTCGTGGCACAGTTTTGTGCTCAGCTGCTAACTTCAAGGTTGAAGGTTCAAACCCACTCTGTGGCTCTGCAGGAGAAAGACCTGGAGATCTGCTCCCGAAAAGATGACAGCCTGAAAAACCTTAAGAAATGTTCTGTTCTTTCACATGAGGTCACTATGAGTCAAAATTGACTTGCCAGCACCCAACAATAACAACTAACCATGCTAGCTAGCAAAATGTACCTGGCTCCCCAGCAACATCCTCCTTTTCTGCAGAGTAGAAAATATAATCCACAGTTATGGCACTTCGGGAATGACAAGTGGTCACTTCTGGAATTCCTGTGTCAGGAAAGTAATGTGAATAAACCGACGACAAGCTGAAATGGTGCTGTAAATTTGAAGATAATCTAAAACGAGAAAAAAAAAAATGTGTGTCAGGTCCATTGAGTTTCATGATTTCTGTAGTTTCTTCTGTTTAAAACCCTTTTTCATTTAACTTCAAGACTAAGGACAGATATTACAATAATGCTTTATGTAAACTCATATCACAATATGATCCTCATATATCCATGTAATGACATTCAAAATCTATTAGCAGCAAAATCTATAAAACATGTGGGGGGGAAAGCTCAATAACTAACAAGTGGATGTGATCTTTTATTGATTTTAACATACTCGAGAGCCTCCATTTATAACTAAACATGCACTCTAAAACAACTGGCACAGTTTTCTATTGTGTTTTTAAGAAAGAAAATCAAAGTTGCATTCAGGAACTCTATTTGAAACTCACCAGACTTTTGGTGTCAGAGGAACTAGATTTTTATATGGCTATTATTGTTTCAACGTGTCATCCTTGTATGCCATCAAGTCAATTACAACTCAGTGAGACAGAGTAGAACTGTCCCAAAAGGGTTCCAAGGCTGTACATTTTAGGAAAACAGACTGACACATCTTTCTTCAGCAGAAAAGCTGGTGCATTCAAACTGCTGTTATTAGTTAGCAGATGTGCACTTAACCTTTGCACCACCAAGATGCCTGACTACAACATAGATAATTTTTTGTACTGTATCTTAAAATAGGATGGTTGACATTTATCCTACACTGTAAAGACGTGATGCTACAGACAAAGGGTTTAAAAATCATGTTCAGCTAACACACCTTAATAGCATGTCATGAAGGAAAAAACTGACAAAAAGTATTTTTAACTCATCTAACAAACATCTGCCTCCTCAAAATAGAGTTGAGTGTGATGACATGAATGGAGTAAAGCCCATGGGAGAAAAGCCTGCGGGACCTTCATTTGCTAAAGGGGCACAACTCAAAATGAAGAGAAACAGCTGTAAACATCCACTGAAAATCAGAACATAGAATGTACGAAGTAGAAATCTGAGAAAATTGGAAGTTGTCAAAAATGAAATGGAATGCATAAACATCGATAACTTAAGCATTAGTGAATTGAAATGCACTGGTATTGGCCATTTTGAATCTGAAGACCACATGGTTTACTATGCAGGGAATGACAAAGTGAAGAGGAATGGTGTTACATTCATTGTCAAAAAGAACAAATCCAGATCAGTCAAGAGGTACAACGCTGTCTGTGATAGGATAATATCCATGTGCCTACAGGGAAGCCCAGTTAATACCACCATTATTCAAAGTAACGCACCACCCACTAAAGCCAATGAGGATGAAATTGAAGAATTCTACCAACTTCTTCAATTTGAAATCGATCAAACATGCAATCAAGATGTATTGATCATTACTGGTGATTGGAATGCAAAGGTTGGGAGCAAAGAGGAGGGATCAGTAGATGGAAAATACGGCCTTCGTGACAGAAATGATGCTGGAGAATGCATTACAGAATTCTGCAAAATCAATGATTTGTTCATTTCAAATACCTTCTTTACACAGCATAAGAGATGACTACACATATGGACCTCGCCAGATAAAATACATAGAAATCAAATTGACTACATCTGCAGAAAGAGACGATGGAAAAGCTCCATATCATCAGTGAAAACAAGGCCAGGGGCAGACTGTGGAACAGGCCATCAATTACTCATACAAATTCAAACTGAAGCTGAAGAAAATGAAAACAAGTCCACAAGAACCAAAATATGACCCTGAATATATCCCGCCTAAATTCAGAGATCTGAAGAACAGATTTGATACATTAAACACTACAGACCGAAGACCAGAAGAGTTGTGGGATGACATCAGGAACATCATACACGAAGAAAACAAAAAAGTCATTAAGAAGACAAGAAAGAAAGAAAAGTTCAAAATGAATGTCAGAAGACACACTGACTTGTTCTCCACTGTAGAGATGCTAAAGCAAATGGAAGAAATTAGGAGGTCTAAGAGCTGAACAGAAAATTTCAGAGATCCGCTTGAGAAGATAAAGCCAAATATTACAACAAAATGTGCAAAGATCTGGAACCAGAAAACCACAAAGGAAACACGCTCAGCATTTCTCAAGCTATGGGAACTGAAGAAAAAAATTCAAGCCTCAACATCCGTTATTGAAAGTTTCTCTGGGAAGATTATGGAATGATGTAGAAAGCATCAAAAGAAGATGGAAGGAATACAAAGAATCACTGTAACAAAAGGAAATGGTTGATGTTCAACCAAGAGATAGCATATGATCAAGAGCCAATGATACTGAAGGAGGAAGTTCAAGGTGCATTGAAGGAATTGGCAAAGAACAAGGTACCAGAAATTGATGGAATAAAAATTGAAATCTTTCAACAAAGTGAGGTGGCACAGAAGGCACTGACTCATCTCTGCCAAGAAATTTGGAAGACAACTATCTGGCCTACTGATTGAAAAAGATCCATATTTGTGCCCATTCCAAAGACAGGTGATCCAACGGAATGCGGAAATCATCGGACAATCTCTTTGATACTTCATGTGAGTCAAGTTTTACTAAAGGTAATACAGAAACGGCTGCAAGCACACATTGACAGAGAACTTCCAGAGGTTCAAGCTGGATTCAGATGTCATTGCTAATGTCTGATGGATCTTGGCTGAAAGATGAGAATTTCAGAAAGATGTTTACCTGTGCTTTATTGACTATGCACAGGCTTTCGATTGTGTGGATTATGACAAGCTATGGACAATATTACGAAGTATGGGTATTCCTGAACACTTACTTGTACTCATGAGGATTCTGTACATGGACCAAGAGGCAGTTGTTCGAACAGAACATGGGAACACTGGATGTCTTAAGGAAGGTGTGCAACAGGGTTATATTCTTTCACCATACTTATTCAACCTGTAATGTTGAGCCAATAATCCAAGAAACTGGGTTATATGAAGTAAAACGTGGCATCAGGATTGGAGGAAGATTCATTAACAACCTGCGATATGCAAATGATACAACCTTGCTTGCTGAAAGTGAAGAGGACTTAAAATATTTACTGGTGAAGTTCAAAGACCACAACCTTCTTCAGTATGGATTGCATTTCAATGTAAAGAAAACAAAAATCTTCACCACTGGACCAATAAACAACATTCTTATCAACGGATAAAAGATTGAAGTTGTCAAGGACTTCATTCTTCTTGGATCAACTATCATCATTCACAGAAGCAGCAGTCAAGAAATCAAACAATGTATTGCATTAGGCAAATCTCCTGCACAAGACCTTTTTAAAGTGTTGAAGAGCAAAGATGTCACCTTGAGGACTAAGGTGCACCTGACCCAAGCCAGGTTATTTTCAATAACCTCATATGCATGTAAAAGCTGGGCAGTGAATAAGGAAGACTGTAGAGGAATTGATGTTTTTGAGTCATGATATTGGAGGAAAATATTGAAAGTGCCATGGGCTGCCAAAAGAACAAACAGAAGTTTAGAGCACATGGTAGGGAATAGACACAGGATAGCTTGGGTGCACAGGGTGGGTGGGTGGGGGAGCAATACACAAGAAAGGGGAGGGGAATGGAAGAACAAGGCTGATGGGAGAATAGTTAGGCAGGTTTGCATGGGCTAAGTGGGACAGAGGTAAATGATAATGTATTCACAACCTTGGAACAAAAGGGCTCCTGGATACAGGGATTCAGGCATTGTTTGAAGGTGTAAATGAGGGGAATAATTTTAAGATATTTGGCTGTCTTTTGAATCTTGGTGTCCCTTGCCTACCATTGTAAAATAGACACTTGATTGGGGGGGGGGTGTGAAAGGAATAGCCAGAAACTTCACTACAGAGAGCTTGTAAGTCTGTCTTCAGCCGACAACTGATTGGAATACCTTAAAGGGGGCTAGAAGTTGCCCAGTGAAAGAGGCTTCCTGTGGAACCTTTACATTGCACAAGACCATAGGTGGAATCCAGAACCCCATCCAGAACCGATTAGGTTGGAAATTTCCACTGGAAAGGATGAGTAGACCAGCCTGGAGTGGCTAGAAGAACAAAAGATACTTCGAGAAACAAAGACCAGCAGGAAAAATCCGAAACAATAACAACAGTCTGATTGATTACCACAAGGACAAGTAAGCTGTTCACCCAGGAGCCATCAAGGCATGTGGTTGGGACCCCTCAGAGAAAACCCCCTTCCAAGACTGAGGCCCAAGGATAATACATGAGCAGGCATGTGGTCTGGCTGGTGACCACATTGGTCACCGAAAGGGGAAGAGGGGGAAAAAACAGCAATGAAGTTGTGAGCTAAGCCCAACCACATTCAATAGATCCCTGTGAACCTGGGTGGAGACCTGGATGGCCAACAGTACGGCAAGACTTGGGGACTCCTGGGCCCAGAGGCAGTGACATGGCCACAGAGGACTAGAGTGGAGAGTGAAGCATCCAGCTGATATGAAGTAAAAGTAGATGCACAAGAACACCCATACTTGCAGATAGTACTCACTTGACTTGGCTTCGATGCCTGTATGATCAGAACTCAACTAGAAGAATAAAGAAGAGGGAAAAAAGAAAAAAAAAAAAAAAGTAACCTGCTACAATTTGATGAACTTTACCTATACTTATGGATGTCATTGTTGTTGCTATGTGCCGTGGAGTAGGTTCCAACTCATAGCAACCCTGCATAAGGTTTCTGAGGCTGTACATCTTTATGGGAGCAGAAAGCCTCATCTTTCTCCCGCGGAACAGCTGGTAGTTTCGAACTGCTGAGATCAGCAGCCTGATTCGTAACCACTATGCTACCAGAAGGAAACAAATCTTCATAGCGAGAATCACTCCCACCCCCTTGGTACACAGGGTTGACAGGGATGGGCAACTTAGACATTGGCTACCCCAAATGGGGGAGCCTATAAAGGCAAGAAGTTACTACTTACAAGCTTTCAAGAGGGAGCCTAGTTCCAGACGGGGAGTGGGAAGGCAGAATCACCTATGAATGATTTCCAATCTGTTGGAACTGGGCCAGCAAAAGCAAATGGGGATAAGACTCTTGTGGTACAATAGTGAATAATTGCCATTAGGCCTGACTGTTGTTGTTGTTGTTGTTAAGTGCCATCGAGACTGTGAGGGTAGGAAATATAGAGGTAGATGTTTTCTGACAAAAGGAGGAGAGTGATTGATTTTGCAGCCCAGGAACGGAGGTCCCTGGGACCATCAAGTGAGAAGAACGGAGAGCGGGACCCTACCCAGAGAGGCAGTGAAGCCAGGGATGGAGACAGAGAAGATGACGTGGACAGATGGAGCAGCTGGGGACACTGGACTTGGGGAGGCAAAAGGGCTGTGTGCTGGTGGTTGGGGGACGGGCCTGTGGAGTGTACCCTTTGGTTATTTGATGATGCATGGAGGGGACTGTAATCATTGCAATGAAATGAAATACAATAGGACGAGTGTAAAGCTGATGTTCTCCCATGTAAACCTCACAATAAAAACTTAATAAAAATAAAGAGGAACATGATTTGAATCCCTCAAAGATGTCCAAACTGCCATTTTGATGTGGTATAAATCAGAGTCCAGAATTCTTTGGGGAAGGTATAGAGAAATGGAACCACCCCCTTCAGAAGCATATGGGCCTAGATGGAAGAGATGTTGAGAAACAATAGCTTCACGTTTTGATATTTTTGTTTAATAAAGTTCTCTATAATTTATGGCAGTACTTTTTGATGTACCCTCAGAAGCTTTGCTTCACCCAGCTGTGTGCCATGGAACACCCCCACTTCACTCCACTGCCATCAAGTTGATTTCGATTCTAACTCATAGAAACCTGTTAGGACCTAGAAGAACTGTGTGTGAGATAATATCCCACCTCCCCAGCTTCCACAATAAGCAAAATACACATTAGTACACTCAGGGCTCTCAGATGTTCTACAGGATGTAAACAGGCTAGATGCTGTTTAGCGTAATTCTTCTCAGTTTTACATAACCACAAACTCCTTCTCTTTCCCTAATTACACTGATTATCATAATAAAACAAAACACATTCTAATAAATACAAATTAGGAAATGTTCCACTGAGGTGTGAGTTTGGCAAGTCCTATGGATTTGTCTGGAGAAATACTCAGTTTCAAGTTGTGAGGATGGCGTATGACCAGGCAGTATTACATTCTATTGCCAACTCGATGACATCTAACAACAACAATAACAGCAAGTTAACTCCTCAAAAGTATGCATTTTTTAGTTTCTTCACATTCCTATGTGACATTTGGATCTTAAGGGTTACTGTGGCACTGTAGGGTAATGCATAAGACTGCAAGGTCAATTTGAGCTGCAAGGTCGGTGGTTCAAACCCACCAGTCACTCCTTGGAAAGTCTATACTATGAGTCAGAACCAACTGGATGGCACGTAACAACAGCAACATGTGATGCAGAAGATGCAGGGTTGCCTCTGTGTGAGAAAAAAAAAAAATCAAACTGCTTCCATGGAGATTTGGAATGACAGAGATGGAGGTCACATCAGGTGTTTTATTGCTTTTCTTGCCTGAACTTTCTTCAGTGTTTAACACTACAGACGTTGGCATCAGAAGCATGGGGCACCCTAAACTTTCTCCCTTCTCCTGGGTTTCCTCTAAGAACTCCTCTTTTGTTTTTTTTTAAGTTTTTATTGTGAATTATGTGTTAGTTTACATGGGTGAAAATCTTTACATTCATCCTATCGTACTTTGTTTCATTGCAATGATCACAATCCCCTGCATGCATCATCAAACACCCAAAGGGTACACCCCACATTCTTGCCCCCCGGCCACCAACACACAACCCCTCTCCTTTCCTGAGTCCAGAGTCCCCAGCCGCTCCTTCTGTCCATGTCATTGCCTCTGCCTCCATCCCTAGTATCACTGCCTCTCCAGACAGTGTCTTGCACTTTGCTTTTCTCCCTTGAGGCTTTCAGGGATCTTCACTCCTGGACTGCATACTCAACCACTCCCCTTCTTTTGTTACCAAACATTTACATTTACCTTTCCAACATCATTGTCAGACCTGATAGCAACCATTCCTTATTGAACCACAGGAGTCCTTTCCCCCTCACCTTGTATCAACCCCATCCAGACAGGTTGGAAACAATTCAGTGGAGATTCTACCTTTCCCTGTATCCTCTGGAGCTAGGTTCCTTACTGAAAGCTTGGAAGCCAGTCAGTTCTTTTTTTTTTTTTTTAAGCCAGTCACTTCTTGCCTTGCTTGACTATCTTTTGAATCTTGATAGCCTTGCCTACTAATGTAAAACAGACACTTGAAGGGGAGAGTGAGGAATAGCCAGAAACATCACCAGAGACAACTTGTAAGTCACTCTTCAGCCTATAACTGTCTGGAATAACTAAAATGGGGCTAGAACTTGCCCAGTGAAGGAGGCTCCCTGCAGAGCCTTTGCATTGAACAAGACCATAGGTGGAGTCCTGATCCCCATCCAGAATCTTCTGAGATGGGTCATTTCCACTTGAAAAAACACGCAGACCAGTCTGGAGCAGATAGAAGAACAGAAGACACATCTTGAAAGAAAGGCCAGCAGGACAAAAATCAAAAACAGTAACAGCAGTCCAATTGACTACTACAAGAACAAGCAAGTTGTTCCCCAGGGAGCCATCAAAGCAAGTGGTCAAGTTTCCTCAAGGCAAACCCTGTTCCAAGACACAAATTCAGATGGAATACACTAGCAGGCATACGGTCTTGCTGCTGACCACAATGGTCACTGTTAAGGGGAAGTGGGGGGAAAACAGCAATGAAGTTGCGAACTACATACAACCACATACAATAGACTCCTGTTAACCTGGATTGAGATCTGGGGATTCCAGGGCCCAGGGGCAGGGACATGGCCCCAGAGGACAAGAACACAGTGTGAAGCATCCAGCTGATATGACGTGGGGGGAGATGCACAACAATACCCACACTTGCAGACAGTACCCATTTGACCTGGCATCATTGGCTGGATGATCAGAACACGACTAGAGTTAGAAAGAAGAAGAAAGGAAGAGTAACCCACTACAAGTAGATGAACTTGACCTATGCTTGTGGGGGCAGTATGAAAAAGCAGCGGACAAATCTCTACCATAAGGATCATTTCCACCCCCTTGGTACACAGGGACAACAGGGATGGGGAACTTAGACATTGGCTACTCAAAATGGAGGTACTACAAAGGCAAGAGGTGACTGGCTTCCAAGCTTTCAATAGGGAACCTAGCTCCAGAGGATACAGGGAAAGGTAGAATCTCTACTGAATTTTTTCCAACCTGTCTGGATGGGGTTGATAAAAGGTGAGGGGAAAAGGACTCCTGTGGTTCAGTAGGGAATGACTGCTATCAGTTCTGACAGTGAGTGTCAGAAAGGTAAATGTAAATGTTTGGAAACAAAAGGAGGGGAGTGGCTGATTTTGCAGTCTAGGAGTGGAGATCTTGGAAGCCTCAAGGGAGAAAAGCTAAGTGTGAGACCTTGTCTGGGGAGGCAGTGACACCAGGGATGGAGGCAGAGATGATGAAGTGTACAGAAGGAGTGGCTGGGGACTCTGGACTCAGGGAGGGAGAGGGGCTGTGTGCTGGCGGCTGGGGCAGGAGTGTGGGGTGAACCCTTTGGTTGTTTGATGATGTATGCAGGGGATTGTGATCATTGCAATGAAACAAAATACGATAGGATGAATGTAAAGATAATGTTCACCCATGTAAACTAACACATAATCACAATAAAAACTTTAAAAAAAAAATCTTTCACCCTATTTTATTATTAAAAGATTTAAGATTTGCTTAACACTAAGTATTTGTAACTCTTCTTTATTATTCTTACTCAGGGAAGATTTTACTGTATTTGAAAAGTTTAATCACACATTTTTAAAAATTCATTTTTCAAAATTCATCTTGACTCTTTTCCTACTAGGTTCTTATTTACAATGTTTTCTCAAAGAAAGGTACATAAACTAAGATCAAAAGGAAAGTGGATAAAATGAACGAGAGATGTTTTTAACTTGTTTCCTAAACGTAAATGTTAGAACAACAACAAAAAAATCAAAACTATAAAAGAGTCACAATATTTTTTAAATTAGGCATTTTAGTAATCTCCCAAAGAGACAAAATTTGTCTCTGTCCTGTTGTAATAAACAGAGGCTTCAAAAAGTTTGTAGAAAATGGAACTAAAGGAATTTTCCCAGGAACTTTTAAAAGTTCCCTCATATATCCCTTTTTTCAACCATGGCCCCAAGCAGCCATGCTTCTTTAATGATAAGAAAGCCATGTATCTACATCCCTGTACCTCTGATGACTCTCTTCTACCACAGAAGTGACAAATGAGAATGATCATCTTTTGTGCTGGCGTATTCTTTTGGATCAATTCTCATACATATTTTCTGCAATCTAGTAAGTCAGAGAAGGTTAAGGATCCTTGTGAAATCTTGAAGATACTTTTTTTTTTTTAATGATCTTAATCTTTATTTGATTTAAAATGTGATGGAATACAGTGTGTTAGCTGTCTAATTCCTTTTAATAATTATTTAAACACTGTGTCAAACATTGTACTTTACATATTCTATCTCATATAATCCTCACAACAACCCAAATTATAGACAAGGAAACAAAACCTCAGAAAGATTTTGCTCTAGATCCCAAAGCTAAAACTCTGCAGTCAGGATTTGAACATAGGTCTATTTGACTTAAATGCAAGCACAGAATATAATCATTTTCTTCATTTTTTTTTACTGAAATGTCTTTTCTTTTTCAACTTGGCTAAAGCCAGCATTAGGAGCACAGCAGTAGGATAAGCATCGGACTGCTAACCACAAAGTCAGCTGTTCAAGTCCAGCCACAGCTTCACAAGAGAAAGATGAGGATTTCTGCTCCCGTAAAGATTTACAGCCTCAGAAACTATGTCGTTTCTATAGTCAAAACCTGCTCAACTGCACTTAACCACAAACAACAAAGTCAGTATCTGTTTACTGTTGTTTTCCAACACTCACTTTTCAGTTGTCACTATGACCTCTGTTTGTGTCAGATTATCATCTGTAAAAACAAAGATAAATATTACTACTAGTATACAGCTTTGTTCCAGTTTACCTCTTACTATTGGAATAATATTGATGACGTATATAGTTATACATTTCATCCTGAAATCTACCTGGTTTATTTGGTCTCTGGAACTAACAGAGCAAAAATAAACGTTTCCAAGGCTGCATGCAAATAATCTATCAATGATACTTTTAGGACTTCAACTTAAAAAAGGCAAATTTAGAGTTTTAAAAAAGGAATAAGGAGATAACTATACCGATATATATGGATATTTATACCTGAAATGTTACCCCTTTAAAGATAAAGTTTTAAGTCTTCAAAGGCATCACTATTATTGAGAAGACTGGCAAAACACGTTACCAAGACTTACCTGTCTTTTCCACTTTTGGTACTTTCTGTACCTCATACACACAGTTCTGTGAGATACCTAGGTTTGGGGGCCAAATTGGAATAGATAAAATTCTTTGTCCCCGTGAAGATTGTTCCTGGCCAGATACCTAAACAAAATTCAACAGGTTTCTTACTTGAATAGATTTTAAAGAGTTTATTTAGTGAAAACTGTCTTAAATAAAGAGCCTTCCAAGTATGATAAATATTACCCTTTATTCATTGTATTATGAATTATGATTATGTCTGTGCTTCCAATATGAAATCTTGCCCAGATAAAGTTCAGAAAGCATCTATTTCCAGGAAAATGACAATCTTTTCCTACTTGTTTTTCTATAGTTTGGACATACAAATGATCTATTAGCTTTGGACTAATACTGTTCTTCCTTTTTTGCCTCTTGCAATATCCATAACCAACCCACTGCCATGAAGTTGATTCCAACTCACAGTTATCCTATAGGTTAGAATAGAACCGCCCCATAGATGTTCAAGGTTGTAATCGTCGTGGGTCACTATGAGTCAGAATTGACTTGACAGCAATGGGTTTGATTTGGGTTTGGAATCTTTACTGAAGCAGACTACCATATCTTTCTCCTAAGGAATGGGTGGTGGGTTCAGACTGCTGCCCTTTCTGTTACTAGCCACTGTGTTAACCACTATGCTACTAGGGCTCCTTTCCTGCAATATAACCCACTGCCATCAAGCTGATTCTGGCTTACAGTGGCTCTAAATAGGGATTCCAAAATTGTAAATCTTACGGGAGCAGACTAGCCTTATCAACTAGCCTTATCCTTCTTCCAAGGACGGGCTGGTGGGTATGAAACATCAACATGGCAGTTGGGAGACCAATGCCTAAAACACAACACCAACAGGGCTCCTTAATTATATAAAATGCTAACAGAGATCAACCTGTACTAAAAGTTTAGCTATCATCCAGAATTCCAGTGAGAGAGAGTTTATTTTGGTTAAAGATAAAGAAAACCAAGTGATCTAAATAAGCAAAGGAAATCACAATAAAAATAAACATTAAAAATAGTATTTTTACTAATTCTTTACTAGGGTAAAGAATTAAATATATCATACATAAAAGAGAATTTATATAATAACTATTCACTTGCTGTTTCAAAAAAACTAAAGCACTCAAAATTCTGTTCTGCCACTTTGTGAATGGTCCCCTATTTGTAAGGTTGCCATGTTCTTCTATTTTCTTCTCTCCCACTTGGTTTGTTTGTTTTTGCTGTCTGCTTATTCCTCCAACCCATGGCTAGATGAGAAAGATAATATTCAACCAAGTGAGTATAATTACTTACTAGTAGTTGTGAAACATCATTATACCTTGGTAATCAGAGGCTACTGGATCAGCTAAAATTTTTGCACAGTCATTAACTATCCTTATATTACATAGAACAAAGCAACCAAGTCTACCTCGTAATAATGAAGACGTGAGTTACCTTTCCTATGGTAAGTCCTTCATAATTCAATCTTCCTTCTTTTATAAAACTGTAGAGTGGAGAACCAGGAACAGAATTAAAGTCACCACACATAACTATTGGGCAGAAGCTTCCATCTTTCTGATGGGCAACACTGGAAATCTCTGCCAGTAGCATTGCCAACTGGGTCAGCTTGATATCACCTCGCCTTGGATTATACAATAGATGTGTGTTAGCTATACAGATTGCAGGACAGACAGCACATGAAATTTTGGGCTGCAAAAGCAACACCAGTCCAACATTGTCTCTGTCCAACAGAGGAATGTCAGGGCGGTAGAATTCCACTGGACTCACTGATATGAGTGAAAATTTAGACCGTTTAAAGCAAATGGCACAGCCATCAGGTTTCCTTCCTGTCCGTATCTTGTATTCACAGTGATAACCTAAAAGAAACAAATGAATTCCAAAGAAGAGACTTAGTTATGTACACATATTCATATGTAAATAGAAACAGATTTCTTATGATGTTTACCAAACTACACTCTGCAAAATATTAATTACGTAGAAAGTTAATATATTCGGGGCAAACTTTTCCATCTTTAATGTGCTAATAATTAATGTACGCTGTCACTTTTGCACTTGCATTCTAATGAAAACCAATCATGACAACAGGAGTAAGGCCTTATATCAATTTGTCTCCTCACCGACCATCCCCGGTTATCTTTGGTCTTTTTTGCCTATTACTCTTCCCCCTCACTCCACTCCAACCACACTGGCCTTCTCACCCGTCTCCAACCTCAGTCTTTCCCCTTGCTCTTTCCTGCCTGGAGTGCTCTAGGCATGGCTTTCTCCTTAACCTCCTCCAAGTGTGCTCAAATGTCACCTTCTCTATGAGTCCTTGTCTGATCATTTTAAGATAGAAACCTTCCCTACTCTTACATCTCAGCAAAAAACTCATAGTATGATTTACTTCTTTTGTTTATCGATAGAATACATACTCTACAAGGGCAGAGATCCTATTGCTTGGGACAGAATACAGTATACAGCAGGGACTCAAAAAATGTTTGCTAAATGAGTGGATAAGAGGGATAAAGTGAGCAGCATTTCTCAGACTACCTGACCACAAATAACCTATTTTCTAGATCTGCTTTCTACAGCAGGTTTTAGCTTCTATTAGGCATAGGTAAACATTGGTACTAAAATAAGTAAACAAGACAGAATGGCCCCAGACCTCATGGAGCTCAGAGTCTTAGAGATGTGGTGGTGGGCAGAGCAACTCCTGGGAAGGGGAAGTACTGAGCACTGCTTACACACCTTTGTATCATACATTAATCTTTTCCTGACCTTTGATAACAAGTACTACATTTTCAAATCAGATTTTTTTTTTTACTACTAAGTTTTGTTAGCAAGTTATGCTTTAATACACATGAATCTTTGAAAGTAAATTTGTCTAAAATAAAAATCACCATGTACCCAGTGATTCCAAACTTGGCCTGATCTCTGATCCATAATGATCTTCTTGAACTTCCTGCAAACAAAGTACCTTGGAAGAAAAATTGACTTGAATTAAAAGATAGAGATACAGATATAAAATTTTTGGTGCTTTCACTTTAAAAAGTAAGCTTATAAAATGTCAAATCTGGTACAATTTAAATATGAGACTTAAAATCCTTTTTCTTATCTACAGCATTATCAAACTCATGCTTTCAAATTTGATGAGTTCAAAACCCCAGCCTTCAATGACATAGAATGCTGTTACTATTCAAAATCAGTATTTTCTAAAGGAAATATTTTTAATTTGAATGTGACGTTTCCCTCCCAATTTACATGCCCATTAGCATGAAATCTTTCCAGTCCTTTCATAAGAGGCTTACTTCTTTGTATGCCATCATTTAGATTAAATTCTTACCAAAATTACTAAATATGAATTTCAAATAAAAGGTAATATTTAATGTTTCCAACTCCTATCTCAAAATAGACTAATGTTTAATTAAGACTTTTTGGATCTTTTTTGAAAAGTTAGATGATTATTTTACCCATTGTTATTGCTGTTAAGTGCTGTTAAGCTGGTTCGGACTCATAGCGACCCTGTACAGGGTTTCCGAGAAGCAGGTGGCAAGTTTTAACTGCCAACATTGCAGTCCAGTGCTTACCTTACAGCGCCACACTAGGACTCCATATTTATATCAGTGGTCACTAGCAAATGATTCTCTGGAAGTCATAAAACTTCATTAAGCCCTGTTCCATTACTATTTTTAAACATCTTATCTCAAACAAAACGTTTAAATAATTTAGTTCTTACATATGCACCAAAGAAATATTTAACCCAATTTTCTTTTGGGTGAAGAATTTTAATAATATTTTACACTTACATCTGCATCAAAGTGCTTAATCTCTCTCAGAATATTGGGAAACCTAAAACTCCAGTGTAACAATGGCTTCTGGCAGTGTCGATAAAGGTGTGAATTGTCCTCCAGTAAGTCTTGTGAGAGTATATTATAGGACAGCACTGAAAAGTCAAACTTCTTCTCATTATCTTCACATTTGGGGTCGGCATTTTTGTCTCCTAGGATCTTCGTATTTTCTTTATTAGGACTACATATGTATTCCCAATGCCGCTCTATCATGCCTGTCAAAATATATTAGGCAAAATATAAAGACTTTTTTTTAAAAGACCACATATTTTCTGTATATAGACATTGTCTTGCCTTTAAATGTTTTCTATAAGCAATGAATACAATTTTCTTCCCTAGGAAAGCAATGAATAGCTAAAGTTTATCAAATTGGTTCCATAGGCAATGAAGTGGTAGACTGACTGACAAGAGACACAGAACAGGCTTATAAGGATATAACAAGTCATTCTGCAAGTGGAGAGTATGTGCTAATAAAGCAAAAATGGATGGTGGTTTCTTACTTCTTTATGATAAGAAGTAGCTCAGACACAAACATGGCTAGCAATTTAATAAACAATAATCTATTTTTATGTCACCATTAGCTTTCTAATCAAGTAACTTCACACTATAGTTCATCTCTATTAGTAAGATCATCAAATGATTAACTAGGGTCCAGACAGAAATGATCCTTCACTTAGAATTCTGGTTTAGACATGAGTGAAGGCTGTATAACAGCAATCAATGGAAGCAGTTGCTGTCTAAAACACAAGCGTGAACCAATGCAAATCAAACGAATCTTAATGCACACCAAAATAAAATGAAATGGGATGCAATGACAGAATGCTAGTACATAACACCTGCTTGACCAACCTAGCATGCAGCAATGAGGAATGTGTGATGGTTTATTTTCTATGAAAACATTATTTACCCTGCTTAAGTGATGGAAAGATCATTAAATGGCATGAGATTTTTGCAATTACAGGCAGTCCTCGATTTAGAAATGACATCGTATTTTATATATGTGTACACACACATACACCCCGACCTTCAACCTTCTCTCCCCACACTCCACCATGGAGGATGTGAAAAAAAATAAAAAGAACATTTTAGAGAATCTATGATCATAAAAAATTCCTGGTGGTGTTAATGGTTACGTACTCAACTATTCACCTAAAGGTTGGCGGCTCAAACCCAACCAGAGGTGCCTCAAAAGAAAAGCCTGGCGACCGACTTAAGAAAGACCATAGCCTAAAATACCCCATGCAGTGCAGTTCTACTGCATAGATATAGGGTCGCCATGAGTCCAAACTGATACAAACAGACAAATTTCATTGGTTTCTGAGCCTAAAAAAAAAAAAGAAAATAAGAAATGAGAAGAACTTAGAAAAACGGATCTGGTGATAAAAAAAAAACCTCTGTCTCAGAATATCTCCCTCCATCCTGTATGAAAGTTTTCACTGACTAGACTACAATGGCTAAAATTTCACCAAGTAAAAACTGGGTTAAAATATTCTATATACTTATACATGGGGGAAAAAGACTGAAAGGTAACACTCCAGTATTTTAAAGCAGTTATTTCTGGAGCCCTGGTGTGGCTGTAGGATAAACAGTGCTCTCCTAACTGGATAACTACAAAGTCAGCAGTTCAAACCCACCAGCTACTCTTGGAAACCCTATCCAGGGTTACTACGTATGAATAAGAACCAACTTGATGGCATACAACAACAACTTCTCAGAGTGATGAACTATAGAAGATTTTTTTCGTATCTTCTACTATGACAATATATATGTAATCAGAATACCACTACACTGTATATAAAAATGCAAAAGAAATGAAAATTAAATTAAAACCTTCTAGTAAATTAGTCAGATTAATTTCCTTAATATCTAAGAGGCTGATCTGCTACACTGAGGATACAGATAATTTAATCTGAGGATGAAAGATAGTTTTCAATGAAAAATTGGGTGGGGCAAGGGGGTGAGAGAATTATGATACCACAAAGGCACTAGGGAAATGAAACAAAACTAAGATAACCAACCTACTATTTCAGAATTTTCCTTCAAGCTTGGCCTATTCCCACAAGAGGGTAGGAAATGATGTCCTTCCCTATCCTTTACAGATTAGAATCTGACTTCAGAACTAAGGCTATTTGTATTAGCTTGGTGGAGTACTTTGAGATTTATAACATAGTTTCCATGGGGGAAATATAACTGATTATAAACAAGTTTCCAGAACAAAATTTATTCATGAATTGGGGACTGTCTATGGGGTTTTAGTCACAAAATCAAAAAAATCCTCAAACATATAAAATATACTCATGCACACAAAACAACCACCTGTCATTATCATCAATATTTGGATTTCAAAGTCACATTGAAACATGAAAGATGAAGGTCTAGAAACTTTGTCATTTCTTGCAAACTACGTATATATAATAGCACATAAAGACATTAATATTGCTAAAGTCCTAGCAATTAAGAGTTTATAAACCAACTCTTTTTACAATCCCACTTTTTAAACAGTCAGGTTCTCTAGCTAAAACAGTGGCTTTCAAACTTCAGAGCTTGTAGAACCCTTTAGCATCACTTTTCATGTCATTAAACACCAATTCTTGGTATGCTGGGGCTGGAAGGACAGGGCAAACGCACAGTTAATCCTGATCATATTGCTTTTAATGAACTTGCAGCAATGTGCTGAAATGCTAGGGTTCTGTGAAGGCAATTTGAAAACCACTGAGAAGAGTGGAGAGTCTTTGGTCTTCATACACTTCACAATACAAATTCACACCACAAAAGCTTATATACCTTCCATGTCGGGAGGCACAAGGTGATCACAGCAGAGGAGACAGATGAATCAAAGAAAGCAAGCACAGGCCTGATTGAGTTTTTAGAGTGCCTAATTAAAAAGTCAGAATTGTGTAACAGAAATCCTTCAAAATACCACTTTAAAGTGACAGGTAAGTGAGCAATGCTGCTCTCTTGATTGAAAAGTATTAGTGAAATATCTGAAGTCACAAATACGGTTTAACGAAGAGCATTTTCCTTATTCATATCACCTAGGAGGAATGGACATATAGAGAGTCAGGTTGCAATCAAGGCTGATCAGTATGTAACTCCCCATCCATTAAAGGGAAAACAACATCATCTTCTGAGCACTGGACTGTGAACCACAATGTCGGCGGTTCAAACCCAGCAGTCACTCTTTGAAAACTCTATACAAGGTTGTAATAGAGAAGTGTCTCGAAAGTACTTAACAACAACTATGAAGCCAACAATATCTTAAGCATTTTGACCTATCCATTTCATCCTGAAAAGGCTTTCGCGTAGGCATTATTTTACATCAGGAAACCACGGAGCAAGAGAGGTTAAGTCACCTAAGTTCAAGCAATTATGGTGGCACTGAAATAAAGAAGTGGCTCCTCAGCCTTATGCTGCGACACCACAGCTCCACCTGAAGGCACACCAGATTGACAGAAGACTAACTGTGAGCCCTGATGCTGGACTGGTCAGCAGTTGAAACCCACAAGCCTCTCTTAGAAACCCTATAAATGGTCGCTATGAGTCGGAATCGACTCAACAGCACACAATACATAAGAGGAGTGTGCTGGCCTGATGAACAACAAAATGTATGAACGGAGGCAGCCTTCAGTTTATGGATGACGGATTACTCTTAGAAACCTAGTTGTAATGCCTCAAAATACACCTTTCATTCAGTCAAACAAATATTTCTTATTTATACAGGGTCAATTATGTGAATTTACACAGGACCAGTTCTGTGGGGGGTACAATTATGTGATGTGATTAAGCACTACACAACAGAATTCCACTTTGAGGTACTTACAATTTCTACTTAGATGTGTGAGTTTTTCCTAAATTGCTGCTTGCAACTGTGTAGCAAGAAATTACACACTGACTTGAACATTTCTTTATCGAGTCTGACTGAAACCCAGTTGAAGCCTATAGACATACACTTGTTGTACTCATAGTGACCCTATATAGGGTTTGAGGAGCAGCTGGTAGGTTTGAACCACCAACCTTGAGGTTCGCATTCTATTACTTATTATATGGATAGACTACTTTCTGGTAAAAAATGGCAGAAACAGTATCTAATTGAATTCCTTCAGCTCTGATTTTCAGGTGAGACTCACTCGAGTGCCTTCTTTTGACAAGCATAGGTATGTGTCAGCTCCCAACACACCGCCTCTTTTAAATTTCTTCAGGGAAGTTATCTTCACTGAAAATGACAGCTCAGTAAGAAAGACAATTCCAAATTCTACTTAGAAAATGCATTTCTACTTCCCAGGGAGAAAGGGGTGATGGCACAAAGAGAGTCTAATGAACCATTTAGAGTAAAAAGAATATAAAAATAACAAAACAAAAAAAACTATGTTACTAGATCCTAATTTGAGAAATACTAATTTAAAGCAACTAAAATACTATTCTGCAAGAAAGTATCTTTCATATATAATTGTTTTTATTTTTAAACGGTTCTTTTCTCTGTGTAATGATTTTTAAAATGTTCACACTAAATATGAAAACCAAAATTAAATTCTTTTATAGATCTGTATAACTCTGGAATCCATCTACCAATTTCTAAGAAGTCAAAGGACCTAATTTCAAAAACACCGAGTTTGAAAATGATTCTTCAATTAAACTAACTTACTGTTTTTAACTTACGTTGTTTTTATAGTTCTCCATTCTTTTCCAACCTTATTTACTGTAAAGTCACTTCTATTTTTACTGAAATACACAACTAATTGAAGAGAACTTCATTTAAAATATCTTTTTTTTTTTTTTTTGGTAGAAAATAAACACTCAACATCTCTAAATATGTAGGAGTTTTTTTCCACTTGGTCTATCACTTATGTCTATTTCTGCACCAAGATAAACATCACCTTTACCTTGGTGCTTTCTTCGTTTTGATGAAGGTTCCTCATCTCCCTCAGAGTTCATGCTGTAACTAGAGAGATGAATCAAAGATGTCTGGCTCAGATGATCAGGTCTCCAGTTCAAGTACTGAAACTGAGTTCTAGACTCAAACAAACAAGCTGGTCTCCAATTCAGTGAGAAATGTCTACTACTGAAGTATGGGTAAGGAGCACGAGAATAATGTCCAGGCCACCTCATGCAACTAGAAATATGTCTGTTCCAGCAACACCTCTGCGGATTCTCCCACGGTGTCCTCCAGTCTCTGCCCAGAGCCTTCGGGTGATGGAGTAACATGGGAAATCTAAAAGAAATAAATACACTCCTTGAGGCACTACTTTTTGTTCTGCTATAATACCAGGGAGCTTCAAAAGGCACATGAAAAATAATCCATTGTCTTTAAATTCCACTTTCCGACAAACTTTTTGAAGCCCCTTCATACATAAACTCTAAATTTCATGTTTCCTCAAGAGAAGACAGTGTCATTTAAGATCTGTCTTCTGGATCTGTGACAGATGGGCAAAAAGACACCCATGGTTTAACTATTAGCAATAGTATCTCAATACCGCTCTCCTTAAACAACCATGAATGCCATTCTAAATACTTCACCTAGAATGCCACCCAGGCTCCCCAAACACCACATACCCTTCAAAAAGTCCACTGTTCAACTGAGAGATGTATCAACCATCACACTGGTATTCAGAGCAGCTTTCTAGCACCTAATAAAACTCAATGGAAAAATAAAATCTACAACAAACAACATACTTAAATATGGAACACATATCGGATGACAATTATAGTGAAGCTCTTCTACAAATTGAGTTTGGAGTAAAAACACGTTTCTGAACTGCTTTTATATCAATGGTAGATTTTTCCAAACATTTGTATATCTAGAAAACAAATGCCCATCACAGCATCACAACACCACTTTTCTCTTGCTAATCTGTGGGTGGATCATTTATTTTTCCATTCTGTATAAAACAAACAAAACCATGCTTCCCCTTGGGAAAGAGAATAGAGATTGCTGTTGTTGTTATGTGACATGGAGTCATTCAGACTCATAATGACCCTGTACAGGGTTTCCGACACTGTAAATGTTTAGGGGAGCAAAAAGCCTCATCTTACTCCTACGGAACAGCTGGTAGTTTCGAACTGCTGACCGTGACATTAGTAGCCTGATTCATATCCACTCACGCTACCAGAGCGCCTTCTGGTGGGATTAGGTGGAGTCAAAACTAAAGCGTTCCAGAATACAGCCTTTCTGGGATTTAACTTCAGCACTACATCTCCCAGAATTCCACTCACCAGGCCCCACCACATAGAGATTGTTGTTGTTGTTATGTGCCATCGAGTCGGTTCCGACCCATAGCGACCCTGTACAGGGTTTCCGAGGGTGTAAATCTTTACGGGAGTAGAAATCCTCATCTTTCTCCCGCGGAGCAGCATATGAATTCACCAATTCTTCAAATCCAATAGCACCAATTTAACCCATCATCCAAAATATCTTCAAAGTAGTGCTAACAAGCCAGATTAAGAAACAATGCTACTTAAAGTACCATGTTCTTCATACATTTCTGGTAAAATTCTGGCTAAGATTCAAAGAAACACTTCCATTCTTCCCTTCAGAATTCAGTCAAGGTACATTTCCATGACAGTGTCAATAATATCCACTTCCACAACTAAAGAAATCTTACCTAAATTGCATCTGTTATTGATCTTCATTTTCATTTTATCAGCATTTAAATTTTTCAGTCTATATTTTTAAAGTTCATGCATTCTCAAATTGTTCTCTAAATTCAACTGAATTATAAATCTTTAAATTCATCCCAAGGGCAGTCTTTCCTGCAATGAGCTAACTTGAAAAGCTATGGAAATTTGGGCACCCACTCTATCGTAAACACGGGAGAATGATAAGACTTTTTGCTCCCCCAAAGATTTTAAAGCCTCAGAAGCCCTATACAGAGTCACTATGAGTTGTTACAGACGCAACAGCATTTAACAACTCGATCCTAATATGCCACTGCACTGAAATAAAATGTTTTTACGACATCACCTTTTCTCTACATTTGTTGTCATTTATACAATGGCACAAGGAGCTCTGGTAGCATAGCGGTTATGAATCGGGATGCAAACTTTAAGGTCAGTAGTTCAAAACTACCAGCTACTCCGTGAAAGAAAGATGAGGCTTTCTGCTCCCATAAAGATTTACAGCCTCGGAAACAGGGTCGCTATGGGTCAGAACCAACTGGACAGCACTTAACAACAACAACATACAATGGCACAGTAATTAAAGTGCCCAGCAGCTGTTCAACCCACCAGCCACTCCTCAGGAGAACAATGTGGCCATCAGCTTCCCTAAAGATACAGATAGCACTGGAATCCCCAAGGGGAAGTGCTCCTGTTCTATAGGGTCACTAGGAGTAGGAATCAACTCCAAGGCAGTAGGTTTGGTTTCTGATATACAAACTTCATTTTCTCTAAAGACAATGAGCTCCTTCACGGTCAGATTCTTTTTTTTTTTTTTTTTTTTTAACTTTTTATTGTGAATTGAATGAAGGTTTACAAAGCAGGTCATCAGTTTTAGACTCAATAAATCATAACCTTCGTTTCATTTCCATGGCTACAATCCTCTCAATGTAACATCATTTATTCCACTTTGCCCCTGGATTCCTCCTCTTTCCCAATCCTTCTGAATTTTGTCCTTGGGTAAATGCTGCCCTTTTGTTTTATGGTGTGTGTACCTCACTAGTGTTGCTGTCCCTCCTATGTACCTATCGATTGCTTGACTAAAAACAGCCTCAGGGGTAAGTTCAGTTCCAGACCTGAAGGGTGACCATAATCTCAGGGTTCCACCAGTTTTGGACCAGTAAGTCTGGTCTTTTTTATGACGTTCAAGTTCTGTTCCATATTTTCTCCCACTCTCTCCAGGACTTTCGAATGTGATTCCTTTCAAAGCAACCGGTAATGGTAGTCAGGTACCACCTATTTCTGGTCTCAGAATCATGGAGACAGACATTCAGTGGTCCATTAGTCTACTGGACTCATTGTTTCCAAGAGTCTTTCCTTTTCATCACTCTTCTTTCCTCCGGACAGAGAACACCTTAGATGGCTGCACATGAGCTTTCAAGATACCAAATCACTACTCACCAAAATATGCAGAAACTCACCCAGGATTTAGAACACTGTCTTTGTGGATTATGCTACACTAATGGACCATGAGGTCCACTGAGACTATGGTCCTGAGGCCCTAGGTCCAGCAACTCATTCCCTCAAGGTGCTTGCTAATGTCTAAGATGTTTTCATAACTTTGCCACCTGGATGCACCACATTCATGGAAATATTTGTAGCAAAAGCAATACCTAATAGTACCCAGTTGAATCCTATTCAGTAGCACCAAAGTACCTAGCTTTGATGGCTTGACTATCAGAACTGGAATAGAAGAAGATACAGAAATTTGATAAAGGAAACAAGTGTAAATTGCTACAATTTGATAAACTTGACCTATACTTATGGATGTACTAGCTCAAAATGCCAACTGAGAGCAAAGGAGTCTTCATATCAAAGATCAAACCTATCCCCTCTGTACACAGCATTGATAGGGATGGGCAACTTAGATATCAGATACCTAAAAAGGCAGGGGGTGGACTATAAAAGCACGAAGTGGCTAGCTTACAAGTTTTCAAGAGGGAGTTTAGTTTCAGAGTGTGCAGGAGAAGATAGAATCCCCACTGAATAGTTTTCATCTTCTCAAGACAGGTCTGGTGAAAGGAGATGAGGATACGAGTTTTATGATTCAATAGCAAGTAACTGTTACCATGATGAATTGTGATTGCCACAATTGTAAAAGTAGAAGTTTTGTAACTAAAAGGGGGAGTGGTTAATCTTACATCCCAGGAACAGAGGACCCTAGGACCAACAAGGGAGAAGAGCATGAGTGGAATGTGGGACCCTATCCAGAGAAGCAGTGACACCAGAAATGGAGGCAGAGATGAAGACACAGAGAGGGGGAGCAGCTGAGGACTCTAGAATCATGGAAAGAGAAAGACAGAGCTGGTGGTCAGGAGGCAGGCTTGCACAATGTGCCCTTTGGTTGTTTAAATGATTATATATTCCTGAGTGTTTGTGTGTAGATCAAAAACAAAAACAAAAAACAAAAAACCCACAGGGAATAAAACCCACAGCAAATACTATTGAAAGGTAATATATGGAGGGGATTGTAATATTGCAATGAAATGAAATAGGATAGGATGAATGCAAAACTGATGTTCACCTATGTAAACTATCACTCAATTCACAATAAAAACTTAAAAAAAAAAAAAGTAAATAAATATCCATGTACAAATATCCTCAGAGTCTTCCTATCTGTCTTAATCCAATGTCTTTCCAAGTACCTAGCACAGTGCCTGGCACACAGCGGGTAGTCAGGAAACACTGCTGAATTCCCATGACATATGCAATATAGTGTTGTGCTTCCCAGAACAGTCGTTCTATATTATACAAACATTCTGAGTTTCAATACCTAAGAATTTAAAGTTAGATATTGGGGCACAAAACCATAACCAGTACATCAAACTCAAGATTTCATGCGTACTCCTTAGTTGATTGGTTATGTGGAGTCACTTCTGATTCCTAGCGACCTTGTATAAGGTTTCCAAAGCTATAAATCTTTATGGACAGCTGGTAGTTTTGAACTGCTGACCTTGAGTTTAGCAGGCCGAACCATAACCACTATGCTACCAGCGCTCCTGTATACTGCTTGTTGTTGTTGTTATGTGCTGTGGAGTCCGTTCCAACTCATAGCAAGCCTTCCGAGGCTGTAAATCTTTACAGAACAGAAAGCCTCATCTTTCTCCCATGGAACAGCTGGTAGTTTCGAACTGCTGACCGTGAGATTAGCAGCCCGATTCGCAACCACTACGCTACCAGAGCTCCTTGAAAACTGCTTAGAACAACCTATATTAATAGTGACCGTATACTGCTTTTTGTTGTTGTTAAGTGCCGTTGAGTCAGTTTCGAACAATAGCGAAACCATTCCGAGGAGTGACTGGTGAGCTTGAACCACAGACCTTACAGTTCAAACGGCTTTGCAGTCTGGCGCATTAACCCACAGAGCCACACCAGGATTCTGTATACTGCTTAAGGCAACATTAATATAAATTGTTGCTAAAAGCCGTCAGGTCAGTTCCGACTCACAGCAACAAGAAGAGCAGCTGATAGGTTTGATCCACCAACTTTGCAGTTAGCAGTCCAAAGCTTATCCTACAGTTCCCTACCAGAATCCTATTAACGTGGGTTGTTGTTAATTGCCATCGAATCAGTTCCAATGAAACAGCTGGTGGGTTTGAAACACCAATCTTGTGGTTTATAGTCCAGTGCTGAGCCTACAGTGCCATACCAGTTGTTGCTTTGTTATGTGCCGTGGAGTCGGTTCCGACTCAGCGACCCTGTACAGGGTTTCCGAGGCTGTAAATCTTTACAGGCGCAGAAAGCCTCATCTTTCTCCCGCGGAACAGCTGGTAGTCTCGAACTGCTGACCCTGAGGTTAGCAGCCCGATTCATAACTACTAGGCTACCAGAGCTCCTTACCAGTAGCCATACCAGTAGTACTTGTTTAATTGTTTTTTTTTAAGAAACAAAACAGTAAATTTAAAGAAAAATATCCAGTAAATAATAATAGTACTGGTAGAGTGAAAATTTGGCAATGATCATAAAGACTGGTATACAAGTAATTGAAGTTTGGGAGACACGAAGTAACCAAGAAACAACAAACCTCGGGTCGAGTGTGGCACACGAGTCACCCGCGGGGTCAGGCCCGTCGGGACCTCAGCAAGGTCTGGCGGTCACCCGCAGCGGGTCAGCCCGGGGCCCGGAGCGGCGGGGCCTGGGGAGACGGCCGCGGACTAGGAGGCTGAGGTCAGCTTGGGGCTGGTTGGGGAAAGGGAGTCAGCACCCAAGGCAAAACCGGGTCGGGCGAAGAACTAGTTCGGTGACAGCCCGATAAGCTCCACGCCGAAATGCCCGGGCCCGGGGCCTCGCCTCCGCCCAGCGTCCTGCCGGATGCGCGCCGAATTTACTTATCCCTGAATCTCCGAGGGGTCCTGTCGGCGACACTAGCGCCCGGACCCTCTGTCTTCCCGGTCCGCCCCGGTCCGCCCAGCCCCGCCTCCATTTAAGCCGCGCCGTCCCTCCCCGCTTCCCAGCTCCTCCCGTCCCCATCCCTACTGACCGGCCTCGCCCCACCACACAGCGGCCGTAGCCCCTCCTCACACAGCGCCACGCTTCCATCTTCCCCTTTTGCTTGCTTCCAATTCTCAAGCCCTAGGCTTAACCTCAAACTCTAGATCAGATTCAGTTGATGAAAACACCAGCGTCCCCATCATTACACGTCGGACTCCCGACCCAGCTGCAAGGCATGCTGGGAAGTTCAGTCTCGCCGGCGGCCAAGCCCCCATCTTGCGCGGCGAGATCCCTGAATTGCTTTAACCTCGAATTGTTTTCAGTGAACATGCGCAGATCTGGTGACGCTTGGGCAGCCATTTCAGGATAGGGCAGAACGCCTGTCTCCGTTTTAAAGAAACAGAAAGAAATAAACGAAAGGCTCAACAACTTTATTAAGGTGGACTTTTGGGTTGGCGCTGTAAGATCAGCACTGTACTTCGAATCACAGGGTCGGTAGTTCAAACTCACCAGCTGCTCCAATACAGGGTTGCTATGAGTAGGAACCGACTTGATGGGACTTTTCTGGTAGCATAATGGTTACGAGTCGGGTTGCAAATCCCAAGATCAGCAGTTGGAAACTACCAGCAGCGGTTCCTCGGGAGAAAGGTGAGGTTTTCTGCTGCTCTCCTAAAGATTTACAGCCTCGGAAACCCTATATAACAACAGTAACAGATACAGTGTGGTAACTCTCAGAGAAATAAAATGAAAAGGGGAAAAAAAAAAACCCTCACATTTTAGAGTATTTTTTAAATGATGTACAAACTGGGAAATTACCTTCTCAGGGTCCCCATGAAACTGTGATGCGTCAGGGTTTTGTAATACACTTTGCAGTACTACAGTCAGAAATCACTAGTTTGTTGTTTTTGATACGATTCTATACTGGTAAAATATACATAACAAAAAGTTTACCATTTAAGTGTACAATTCAGTGACACCACTTATGTTGTAAGGAGCTCTGGTAGCGCAGTGGTTACGAATCGGGCTGCGAACCGCAAGATCAGCAGTTCGAAACTACCATCTGTTCCGCGGGAGAAAGAGGAGGCTTTCTGCTCCCGTAAAGATTTACAGCCTCGGAAACCCTGTACAGGGTCGCTGTGGGTCGGAACCGACTCCACGGCACATAACAACAACAATTATGTTGTAGTTGTGTGCCTTCCAGTAGATTCCGAATCAGCAGTTTCTTACACTATAATCTTCATAGGTCAACAAAGTGGCTCATAGGATAAGCACCTTCAAGCCCACCAGCTGCTCAGCGAGAGAAAGACCAGACGTTCTGCTCCCAAAAAAAGATTTGAAGCCTTGAAAACCCTGTACAGAGTTCTGGGTTGAAAACGACTCCACTGCACTTAACAACAGCAGCCTTTATAGAAGCAGAAGGACAGACAGTCTTTACTCCAGGAAGTGGCTGGTGAATTTGAACCACTGACACTTCCTTTAGCAACCGTAGTTTGTCCAACTACGGTTATTAACTGCCTTTGGATTAATTCGAATTTACAGCGACCCTGTAAATCTTTGCAGGGACAGAAAGCGTCATCTTTTCCTGCTGTGCAACTAGAATCAGTATCTATTTCAAAAAGCTTTCATCATCCCTAAGCAGAAACTCAGTATCCCTTAAGAAATAACTGCAGCCTCTTCCCCTCCAGCCTCTGGATATTTCATAAAAGTAGAACCATACAATATTTGTCCTTTCGTGTTTTACTTATGCACTCAGCATGTTTTCAAGGTTCATTCATCTCACAGCATGTATCAGAACTTTATTTTTCCTTATAGCTGAATAATATTTTACTGTATGTATCATATTTTGCTTATCCATTCATTTGTTGACTGATACATGTTTCCACTTTTTAACTATTGTAAGTAATGCTGTAATGTACATTGGGGTTCAAGTATGTGAGTCCCTGATTTTTAGTCTTTTGAGTATATACTTTAGAGTAGGATTGCTACATTGTATAGGAATTCTATATTTAGCTTTTTGAGGATCTGCCAGGTGAATCCACAACAGTTGCAACATTTTACATGGTCAATAACAATACAGGATGCCTCAAATTTCTACACATTCTTCACAGTCTCTTCAAAATACTTTCCACTCCCACTACCCCACCACTATATTTCTGATAACACTCACCTGTGAAGTGATGGCCAGTTATGGTTTTGATGTGTATTTCCCTTATGACTTATTACGCAACTTTTCATGTGATCATAGGTATCCATATTTTTAGGAGAAATGTCTCTATTCAAGTCCACCCATTTTTTAATTGGGTCATTTGTCTTTTTGTTGTTGAGTTGTAGACGTTCTTTATATATTCTGGATATTAAACCCATCTTGCAGACTAGGCAGGCGTACTATAGGGACCCTCTACAACAAAGGTATGAGACTAAATAAAACAGGCACAGATGAAAACCTTGGAACCCTGAACTTCACAAGAAAGGTTAGAGAAATGGATTGAGTGCTGAGAGGAGACACTGAGCAGGGAAGTAGGAGAGGGAAACATGGCAAAACAATTTTGAACCATTGTGAGCAGCTTTGGCAACAAAGGTGGCCTGGTAGAGCAGAGTCCACAGGCAATTGGAAAGGTGTGATTCCTTAGTTTTCCTCTTTTCCAGAAGGATCTGGCAAAAGGAGATGGGGGATGAGGGATGATGGTGATAGGATTTTATGATTCAATTGTGAGTAATTGTTAGCAGGATTCATCGGGATTGTCACAACTGTAATTGCAGAAGACGTGTAACTAAAAGTGGGGAGTAGTTAATCTTTCATTTCAGGAACAGATGATGCCAGCACCATCAAGAAGGGGGAACATGAGTGGAACATGAGATACTACCTAGAAAAGTGGCCACAGCAGACACGGTGGCAGTGGCAGTGGCAGTGGCATGGAGAGATAGAGCATCTGTGGGCTCTAGACCCATGGACTGAGTAAGACTATGTGTTTTATATGTATGTATACTTCAAATATTTCGCTTTGTTCATTTGCGGAATATAAGATACAAATGAGGAGCCACAGGGAGGGAGCAGGATAACTGTTGTTGCAGGGAGGGGATTATAATCATTTAGATGAAACAACGTGTATAATTTGTTGAATTTGTAAAGCTGATAATCTTGTCTGTAAACCTTCACTCAATTCACAATAAAAAGTTAAAAAAGAAATCACACCTTTCTTTGGTGTGATTTCTTCTTTTTTCCCATGCTCCCCTGGTGACCAGAGGTGTGGCCAGCTTCCTCCATCATCTACTCACAGTACAGTCCCTGTTTCTGGAATTTTGAGCCATGTGGTTGGGAGCCCCATCATTGTGAGGCGGGGCCTGGCTTCATTGCTTTGGTGTACCATTTTGATGCTTGGATTCAGGTGGGCTTGGCTTAGGACATACAGAACCCAAAAAATTAATGCATCACCTTGCTCCCAGCTGCCATGTGGTCCTAGCAGACACTGAGGCTAGCTCCATCAAGGACCTCCATGAAGTACTTCCAGATTGCGTCCTGAACAGAGATAACACCAAGGCCTATAGGAGCTCCATCTAGGGCCAGGAACTCCACTGTCACATTCCTCCCACATTCAACTTATGAGATCCTTGGCTGGCAGGAGCTCCTCAAAGGTTTCTGCTCTCCAGGTCTCTTGGGTACACTGTGTTTTCCTTTTGTTGTTTCATTGTTTTTTTGTTTTTTTTTCCCTACTTCTCTCCATTCCCTTAATTTTATCCTTTCTATCTCCGCTTTTGTTTTTCCATCTTTTCTTTTTGCTCTGGAACACTTTAGAGAGGTATTTTGCAGAGGATTTGCCTGATGCAATACTTTCTTTGATTTCTTGACTGCTGTTTCCATGAGTTTTAATTGCGGATCCAAGCAAAATAAAGTCTTGGACAACTTCAATTGTTTCTTTGTTAATCATGATGTTATTTGTTGGTCCATTGTGAAGATTTTTGTTTTTTGTTTTTTTTTTTACATTCAGGAGCAATTCACACTAAGGGCTGTAGCCTTTGATATTCATCAGTAAGTATTTTAAGTCCTCTTCACTTCTAGCAAGCAAAGTTGTGCCATAAATATATTGCAAGTTATTAGTCTTCTTTCAACACTGATGTTACATTCTTCATCCTATAGTCCAATTTCTCTGATTATTTGCTCAAAATATAAATTAAATAAGTGTGATGAAGGATTACAACTGTGGCACACACACTTCCTCATTTTGAGCCATTCAGTATTCTCTTCAGCTCTATTTGAATGACAGCTTCTTGGTCTATGTACAGGCTCCTCATGAGCATAGTAAAGTGTTCTAAAATACCCATTCTTAGCAATGTTATCCCATAGCGTGTTATTATATACACAGTCTAATGCCTTTGCATATTCAATAAAGCACAAGTAAACTGCTTTCACACCACTTGTCTGCCAGTTGGTCATACTCTGATGGTTTGTGTATTGCCGTCTGTGAATTTAATTCTTTGCCCATTTAAAAATTGCATTATTTGTCCTCTTATTGTGAAGTTGTAAGAGTTCTTTATATAATCTTAATACTAGACCTCGATCACATACATATGTGTTGTTGTTATGTGCCATGGAGTCGGTTTCAACTCATAGCGACCCTATACAGGGTTTTCAAGGCTATACATCTTTACGGGAGCAGAAAGCCTCATTTTTATCCCACGGAACAGCTGGTAGTTTTAAACTGCTGACTGTGAGACTAAGAACCTGATTCGTAATCACTACACTACTAGAGCTCCTTTTTATCACATATGGTGGTGGTGGTGGTTATGTGCCGTGGACACATATAGGACCTGCAAATATTTTCTCCTGTTCTATGGGTAGTCATTTCACTTTCTTGATAGTGTCCTTTGACACACAAGTCCAACTTATATGCAGTCTAATTTATCTATTTTTAGTTTGATTGCTTCTGCTTTTGGTGTTACAGCTAAGAACCCATTGTCTAATCCAAGTGCATTAAGATTTACACTTGTGTTTTATAGCTTTAGTTACATAGTTTACATTTAGGTCTTTGATCCACTTTTTTTTTTCTTTTTAATTATGTGATAGTTTACATGGGAGAGCATTAGCTTTACATTCATCCTGTCGTATATCA